CGTAGTTCGAAGCAGTGCAGCAACCTAGACTCCTCAGCCCTGGACCCTAAACCCGAATCCCTGTACCTAAGCCCTAAGCCTTAAGCCCTAAACCTAAGCCCTAAGCATTAAGCCCTAAACCCAAAGCCCTGAACCCAAAACCCCAAGCCCGAAACCCGAAACCGAAGCCCGAAACCCGAAGCCCGAAACCCGAAACCCGAAGCCCCAAGCCCCAAACCCCAAACCCTAAACCCTAAACCCTGAACCCTAAACCCCAAACCCTAAACCCTGGGGAAGCCCTATTAATGCCTTGGTCTGCCTCTGGAAGCGGCAGCCTGCAAAGGAACTTCATGATCTCGCTCGCCCTTTCCTTTACGGCTCCTTGCCTATTCTTCGCCACCCGAAGTTTGCAGCCGGAGGTTTTCTGCTGTCTAGGGTTCAGGGTTTAGGGTGTAGGGTTTCGGGTTTAGGGTGTAGAGTCAGGGTGCCAACTTGACATGTTTTTTGATTTCCCGTGTTTCCCGTGTTTCTTGAACCTCCCACCCCTCCACTCCAAAACCCCAAACCACACGAAAGCCCTGCAAGCAGAACATCAGGTCACCCGGCCCAGAAGCGATCTCCAACGCTGCATCTCCTGTAGAGCGAACCCCCCATCAACTCCGATCCCCGCATCGGCAAGTCCCCCAACAGCCGCAACTAAACTAAGCAAACCAAACCCTCAACCCTTATCCTTAAATACCCTCAACCCTTATCCCTAAACCCTCAACCCGAAACCCTCAACTCTACAAGCACGACGTGTTATGAAAGTCCCGAAGCCTCAATCCCCAGCTAAGCCCCAAGTCCGCGCTTTCCAGAGCCCGGAAAGCCAGGCTCTTCACAGGGCCCCCCTAAGGGTCCTAAGCCTTGGACCCTAGGAGCCCCAGACCCCTCAGCCCTGAACCCCTAAACCCACTAAACCCCAAACATCTCGAAGAAACCCCCTACAAATCCCAAAAAGGAACCCCTATAAACCCCCCCCCTCAACCCCCTAAAAAGCCAAAAAACCTGCTACGAAGCCTCAGGTGATCGGCGCTGCCTGGCTCATGGCAAGGCCCATCTTCGGGGCCGTGCTGCTCCTGGCGGGGTCCTCGCAGCTGTTTTTGTTTTGGTTTTCCGTTGCAGGGAGGCTTTAGGATTTAGGATTTAGGGATTTAGGGTTTAGGGTTTAGGGTTCAGGGCTTAGGGTTCAGATCTCCTGAAATTTTAGTAGCAGGCCTCCGAAGGTGGGAGGAATTTGGTGGAGTTGAGGGCTTGGGGGTTTGGGCAAGAGGTGCTTGTGGCTAGGTATTGTGTTGTAGCACCCGGGTTCCCTAAAGGATGGGAATCCCTGAGGCTTGGGGACTGAGACTTCATTCAAGTCAAACGGGGTACGCCCAACGGGGCCTTAGTACACGTAAGTCAGACTAGGAGCGGGAGACGAGCCTCTCGGGGTTCTGCGCACCGCGAGCGGAGCGGACATTCGACGCGTGCGGATACCGCAGCTGAGGTCATGTAGAGGTTGAGGATGTTCGGGGGGGGGGGGGTAGGTGTGGGGTGCTGTGATCCCTCAGCCCCCCTAAACACCTAAGCCCTCAGCCACACCACCCCCTGAAAGTCCCAGCCTCCCAGCTCTTCCCGACCTGTGGAAACCCCCGCTCCGCTGAGGCCGCTGCGGGCGTGGTGTTCTTGGCGTACAGCCTCCGGAAGAAGTACCGAAGCAATCCCCGGTCTCCCAGGACGTTGTGGGGGGGGGGGGGGGGGCGTCGGGGGGTACCTCAGGCCGTAGGACCACCGCCCAGCTTCGTAAACGGTACAGCAGTGGGGAGAGGTAATATATAGTTTACGACTTGCTATATATAATAATATATTATAGTAGAGTATAATGTAATATAATATGATCTAGTAGAATAGAATAGAATAGAATAGAATAGAATAGAATAGAATAGAATAGAATAGAATAGAATAGAATATACCACAATATATTATAATGCAAAAACATCATATAAAAAATACAGGGTCATATCATATTATATGAACTAAATAAATAAATAAATAAATATATATATATATATACACATATATACTTGTTATAACATAATATAACAGAAGGGTGTCCTTCAAAACGCGGAGGCACTCCTGATCCCGACATGCCCTCGTAGAAGCATCGCAGCCAGGATCGACGAGCCCTTCATGACATCCGGGACCTCGGTCGCCCCGGCTCCGCCACAGGTGCAGGTGGCGCAGCAGGTGCAGGCGCCTTTGGGGGGCAGCTCAGGGTTAATGGTTCAGGGTTTCAAACCCTGAGCCCTGAACCCTAAACTGTAAACCCTGATCGCCTGAGCCCTAAACCTGCAGTTGGGTTGTTCAGGTGACCTGTCCTCCTGGCGTGCAGCCGGGCCAGCTTCTGGGCGTTCATCGCGCACTTTCTCTTTCTTCCATTCTTTTGGTGTAGGGCTTAGGGTCCGAAACCCTGAACCCCAAACCTTAAATCCCAAACCCTAAGCCCCGAACCCCAAACCCCAAACCCCAAATCCCTTGAACCCTAAGCCCTGAAACCAAAACCCTAGTCTAAAGCCCGCTGCCGAACCACAAGGCTTAGGGACCCAGCCTTCCCAGGTTTCTTGGGCGGGCCCCAGTCTAGGGGGTGAGGGTTTGAGGGGTTGAGGGGTTCGGGTTTAGGGTTTAGGGTTTAGGGTTTAGGGTTTAGGGTTTAGGGTTTAGGGTTTAGGGTTTAGGGTTTAGGCTGTAGGCATTAGGGTTTAGGGTTTAGGGTTCAGGGTTTACAGGGTTTAGGGTTTTGGGGTTGAAGCGCCTCAGCCCTTAAATCCCGCCTCCGAGGCTGCTGCTCGTGCAGGGCCCCAACGGCCGGCAGTGTCAGGTACAGGTGCCGCCCGGGGTGCAGCCTGGGCAGGCCGGGACACACGGTAGGGAGGGACTTTCTTTTTATCGATTTTTGGTTGTTTAAAAGGAGTTTTTTTTTTTTTTGTGGGTTGCATACGGTTTGTGGGGTAGATGGGGTTCATGGGACTTTGTAGCGTTTTAGCGTGGCCGTAGGGGCTGCTCAAGGCTCTGCCGGAGATCCTCCAAGCTCCACATACATGGGGCTTGATCTACATATCTCCTTCTTGGACGCGCTTTCTCCCCTAAACCCTTTATCCCTAGACTTTAAACCTTGAGCCCCAAATCCAAAACTTACAAAGCTTTGAAACCCAGCATCCTAAGCCCTTTCCCCTCCCGATAACCCTGAATTCCTGAACCCTTTGCCCTTCCCCCCCCCCCCCCCAAGGGTTTAGGGTTTAGGGTTTAGGGTTTAGGGTTTAGGTTTAGGGTTTGCCCTTCCCCCCAAAAAAAGGGCCCGATGTCAGCTCTGCAGACCCAGCTTGAGGCCCTGGAAAGGCAACCCAGATCCTTCAGGTTCCACAGGTTCAGGGTTCAGGGTTCAGGGTTGAGGGTTCAGGGTTTAGGATTGAGGGTTCAGGGTTTAGGGTTGAGGGTTCAGGGTTTAGGATTGAGGGTTCAGGGTTTGGGGTTGAGGGTTTGGGGTTCAGGGTTTAGGGTTCAGAGCTCAGGTCGTAAAGGCCTCGAAATCCCCAACCCTCAGCTGTCTAAGCTTCTTAGGGTGTGGGTGTGGAGCCCTAGACCCTAAACCGTAACCCCAAACCAAAGATTCCCAAACCCTAGGCCCTAAGCCCGAAGCCCTCAGCCCCAAACCCTAAGCCCTGCGCCATAAGCCCTAAGCCCGAAGCTCTGAGCCCTAAGCCCCTAAACCCCAAGCCCTAAACCCTAAACCCTAAACCCTAAACCCTAAACCCTAAACCCTAAACCCTAAGCCCACCCTGGGAGGCCTTCTTAGCCAACGTCTGAGGGGAAGCTTGGGGCGCGTTCGGGCGCGTTCGGTAGCTTCGGCGTTCCGGCCCCCACCAGGAGTTCCTGCACCACAGGCCTAGAGTCCCTGGGCTTGCGTGGGTTTAGGGTTTAGGGTTTAGGGTTTAGGGTTTAGAACTTTGAAGCTGTTTGGTCCTTCAGCTCCTGTTAAGATTTTGGTTCCAAAGTGCCCATGACCTCCAGGTAAGCCAGGGACGCTCCCCTCAAAGCGGCCAGCACAGTTCCTTTCGGGCCGCAGCGTGTGCTGCTTGGGCATGGGGCAGAAAAAGACCGCTCTGGGAGTCCCAAACCCCCCAAACCCCAAGCTCCCTAAACCCTAAAACTCTGAAACCCTAAGCCCTAAACCCTAAGACCCTAAAACCCCAAAACCCTAAACCCTAAAAGCCAACACCCTAAAACCCTAAAGCCCTAAGAACCCTAAACCCCTAAAAGCCCGAAACTCTTCGTGAGCCCTACGCAGGGGAAGCCCAGGACCCTCTTCACAGAACGTGCGCGCCGCAGCCAGCTCTGGTTCACGTGCTGCCGCAGAAGGCTTTCTTAGCCTTCGTGGCACCTCAAAGATAAGTTCTACCATCCGTACCCGACAAGCTCGTCCGTACCGTGAAGCTTCGTCTACAAGACACTCGCCTGCACATGGGGGTCGTTGTCGGAGTGGTTGGCTCTGCGGTCCGTGGGACGTTTTCGGGGTTGGAGGTTCAGGGTTAAGGTTTAAGGTTTAGGGTTCAAGCGCAGGCTTTAGGTTTCAGGGTGCAGTTTGAAGTTTGCAGCTGAGACCAGACAGTTAAAGATACAGGTGAACCTCCTGCACATCCTCCACAAAACCCTCCCCGACCTCAGGGCCCCCTTTGTCGAAAGCCTTTACAGCCGAACTCCTCATAAACAGTAGCCTGCCACAAGGGCCCTGATCAGCAATAACCCCCTTCCCGCCCCTTTGACATCGGAACACCGAACACTTCAAGTTCGAAAGCTGAGTAGCGTAACCCTAAATCAAGCCGCTCGATGTGCCAGCTCTGCGCAGGGAACGCAAAGACCTCACGAAATGGCACGAAGTATTCACTACAAGTGCGGTGCAGAACCCTAAATGCTAAGCTTAACGCCCCCTCAGGAAATTCGGGAGCATGAAACCTGCCTCCTACCAAACCACCACGAGACTTCGCTGCATTGACTCGGTCAAGTCGCGCTTAGGGGCTTAGGGCTTGGGCTCTTTGGGTCTTCTGCTTCCAAGGGGCCCGGGAGCCCGGAGAAGACACGTGACTTGAGGATGATCCTCTCAATCACATTCGGCTTAGGATTTAGGATTTTAGGTTTTTGGGTCCCTGTGAGAATCTAAAGGAAGGTCATGGGTGCCGTCACCAAATTAGGGGGACATTGTGCGCTCATATTTCGGCGAGACTTGCAGTTATTATTGAGTTATAAGTGCCCATGAACCAGGCATTGATGTTGCAGGATCGTTGAGAGTGCAACTGGAGTTCTAGTTGGGTTCTGCCCTAAACCCTAAACACCTAAATCCCCACACCCCAAACCCCAAACCCCAAACCCCAAACCCTAAATCCTGAACCCTAAACCCTAAACCCTAAACCCTAAACTCTCAACCCTAAACCCTAAACCCTCAACCCTAAACCCTAAACCCTAAACCCTAAACCCTAAACCCCACGCACCTGCCAGTGCCGAGGAAACCTTCTCTGTTTGCTGCCAAGACGACTGCGGATAAACTTCGAGCCGCCGGGCGTTGGTTCACACCGAAACCCTTACCTGAGTTTAGGGTTTAGGGTTTCGGGTTTAGGGTTTAGGGTTTAGGGATACTCTATCTACTTAAGGATGCCTATAGGGTTTAGGGTTTAGGGTTTAGGGTTTCGGGTTTAGGGTTTAGGGTTTTGGGGTTTAGGGGGTGCAGAGGGTTAGGGGTTTAGAGGTTTAGGTGGCTTAGAGGGTTTAGGGGGTTTCGGTGGGTTCAGAGGGTTTAGAGGGTTTTAAACTCTAACCAAGCCCTAAACCCTAAACCCTAAACCCTAAACCCGAAACCCTAAATCCTAAACCCTAAGCTGCTCAGGTGACTGGACTCTTGGCTGGAATTACCATCCTTGTGTGCGTGGCAGACTATGTCCTCGCTGAGATGGGAGGTGAGAAGGCCCCTGGTGTGTTAAGGGTTTAAGGGCTTTTAAGGGTCTAGGGGTTTGGGGATTTGGGGTTTTGGGACTTTGGGGGTTTGGGGGCTTCGGGGGTTTGGCGGGTTGCATGTTACGGTTTAGGGCATTTTAGGGTTTGTCGGTTCAGGGTGTCTGGAGTGATCGGTTCAGCCGAAACCCCAAACCCAAACCATAAACCTAAACGCTTCGTCCGATCCCTCCTCGTCGGATAGGTTCCGACAATGGAGTTTCTGAAAAAACGGTTTAGGGTTTAGGGCTTACCTGCAATAAGCACGTGTCTTTTGACGTATATTAGGGGACCCCTATTTTCGGGAAATGCCCATATGACCCCAAAACGAATGTTCCTGTGAAAGGCTCTTGCTTGGGTTCTCTTCTTGAGGGTGCACTGCCAGCCTTAAACCCTAAAATTGAGTCTTAGAAGTCAGGAAAGAAGTCAGCTAGCTGTACTTAGGATAGCAACTGAGAAGATCTTCTACCCCCAAACCTCTGCAGCAGAGACTGAAAAACCCCAAAGCGCCTTCGATCCCAAGCTTCGGTTAGGGTTCAGGGTTTAGGGTTTAGGTTCATATAGGGTTTAAGGTCTAAGGTTCAGGGTTCAGGGTTTAGGGTTTAGGGTGTGAGGTTCAGGGTTTAGGGTTTAGGTTTTAGGGTTTAGGGTGTCAGGTTCAGGGTTCAGGGTTTTAGGGTTTAGGGTTGAGGGTTTAGGGTGGCCTAAAACACAACTTAGTTATGATAAGGCCGTCGAGCTCCTGTTCCTGACAAGGCCGTGCCGGCCGGGGGCCGCTCCTTCCTCATTGAGACGGCCACCGTCTTGGTTTGCATGCGCCCGGCCTTTGAAATGCTAGGGTTCAGGTGTGATTGGGCCCTAAACCCGTCACCTCTGAAACCCTCCTAAGCCCTAAGCCCTACACCCTAAGCCCCAAGCCCCAAACCCTAAACCCTAAACCCTAGCCCTAAACCCTAAACCCCTTTCCCTCATCTTTTACAAGGTTGCTGCCAGCTGCCTTCATGCACCTCTCCAAGGCGCCTCTTGACCCCTCAGGTCTTGGCCTCAACCCTCCCCGTCCCTCACAAGAAGGGTTTAGGGTTTAGGGCTAGGGTTTAGGGTTTAGGGTTTTTTAGGGTTTAGGGTTTAGGGTTTAGGGTTTAGGGTTTAGGGTTTAGGGTTTAGGGTTTAGGGTTTAGGGTTTAGGGTTTAGGGGTTTTAGGGTTTAGGGGTTTTAGGGTTTAGTGTTTAGGGTTTAGGGTTTCGGGTTTAGGGTTTAGGGTTTAGGGTTACCCTCCCTCCCCTCGTCCCTCCCCTCGCACGAAGGGTTTTAGAGTTCAGGGTTTGGGGTTTGGGGCTTGAGGTTTAGGGTTTGGGGCTTGGGGTTTAGGGTTTGGGGCTTGGGGTTTAGGGTTTGGGGTTTAGGGCTTGGGGTTTGGGGTTCGGGGTTTGGGGCTCTGACGCCTCAACCCCCCCCCCCCCATCAAACCCTGCGCCCCCCAAGTTTCACATGTACCAAGTTCCGAGCGGGGCACTTGAGCTCCAAAATCACAACCCTGAGTTGGAGCCTACATGGGAGTTTACGACAATCAGGGGCCCCTCTTATGGCACCCACATAGTAGGGTTCCCTTATAATATGGACCCCATAAGGTACCCCTAATATCAGAAGCCCCCCCCACACATATCCTGGACCCCTGAACCCCAAGCCCAGGCCCTGAACGCGAAGCAGCAGATGTGGCTCACCTGTTGAGCGAAACCCTAAACCCTAAACCCTAAAAACCCCAAGCCCCTAAACCCTAAACCCTAAACCCTAGAAGCCCGCGAAGCATCTCCAGGCCGCCTTCAAGACCAACGGCAAAGACAGCCCAAAGCATCTCGTCGTGGTGTTTGGGGTTTAGGGTTTAGGGTTGAAGTCAGCCTCAGCCAACGTGTCGGATGTTTGGAGAAGTCAGGTCATGGTATAGAAGTAGGGATTTTGGACATAGCCTCATTTTCTCACCCCGCTTAAGCCCAAACCCCAAAAGCCCCATTTATTCACTTTGTCCCCTTTTGTTTTTTTCGAGTCTCGGTGCACTCTTAACCCCTTTTAAAACCAAAATGGGCACCCTTTTTTTCTCTCCTGGTATTTTTTTTTGGCTGGTTCAGGGGTGCCACGAGCACAGGAACCTCGGGCCGGCCTTGCCTGAGCCCACTCCCCATCCCCCCCTCACCCTAAAACCCTACACCTTAACTTAAACCCTAAAACCCTCTACCTTAAACCCCAAACCCCAAACTTTCCCCCCCCCCCCCCCCCTATGAAAAGCAAACACACACACACACACACACACACCCAGAACGTGTCCTTAGCTCTTAAGCTCCCGTTTAAGGATTAACACGGGGGCCTACGAAACCATGAACTCTGATAAACTTCAACCCCCAAGAAGTCCATCACCCCCGTAGCACTTGCACAAGCCGAGGCGCCCCTTAAGCCCTGAACCCTCCACCCTCAACCAAGCTCTGAACCGTGAACCCTGAACCCTGAACCCTAAACCCTAAACCCTAAACCCTATACCCTCTACCCTCTAACCCCTAACCCCCGACACCCCGAGCTCCTCCAACAGCCAAAATCCAGCTCGACCTCCGCATGAGGAGCCGGCGTGGGAAGCTGCTGCCCAGCTCCTGGCCCAGAGCTTCGCGGGGGGACTTGAGGGTTTGCTCTTGTCTCCAAGTGGCCTTGTCATGCTTATTCGGTTTTTTTCGATGATTATTCTTACTGTTCTTGCAGTTCGTACTTTTTGCATTTCTATGGTAATGACCCTTGCACCGGGGTGCGATGTAAGTGCCCGTGCCCGCTCCCAGTCACGTGAGGTGAAGAGCCAGGGAAGCCGCTCAGGATCGATCGATCGCAGGCCACGGAAGCAGACGTTTCGTGAGGGTTGAGGGTGTCTTAGGGGGTTTGTAGGGGGTTCTGGGGGGTGTTAGGGGGTTTTGGGGGGGTTATAGGGGTTTTAGGGGGTCTTAGGGGGTGTCAGGGGTTAAGGGCGGCCCGGCTGAGCTTTTTTTGTTTTAGCTGCCGGGGTTACAGCTTGCGGTGCGCCGTCTCTGTTGAGGTGATGTGCTCTTGTTGTCGGCTATTCGTGCTGCAGTCAGTTTCGAATTTGGGTGTTTGGGCGCTTCTTCGCAGTAGAGATAGTTGCTTCAGGGCTCATCATTACCACCCCGCACCTGGAATCCCGAACCCAAACCTTGCCAAAGGACTCTCTTCCGCTGGTTCAGGGCTCCAGGTCCTGGTTTAGGGTTTAGGCTTTAGGGTTCAGGGTTTAGGGTTCCGTGGCGTCAGGCCGGCAGCAGCTCCTCGGACGTCGAGGCGCGACGCGTGCAGTGCACTAAGAGGCTTAGTAGCTGAATGAGTGCGCTTTGCACTTCTTGGGATACGAGAATCCCCTGTAAACCTGAAAGTACACGTCTTTGGGGGCTTATGAACTCAGCAACTAAGGCGGTCTGATGGTGTTTTTGAAAATAAATGACACATCTACCGAATATGCTTCCTATATATAGATATAAAAAGTGGTCACCCACCAGGACAGACGTCGAAACCAGTTTTCTGCCACAGTCTGTCGTCGGGAAGGGTACAGTCATGGAGCAGAATTCGGCAAAAGATTCGAAGGTGGAAGGTAGCGCATAAAGGAGAGCTTTGCGATTTCCGTGTTCTTAAGGCTACATGGCCGGCGAATAGTATAAGTAGTTGAAGAATTATAACTGACTTCCACTTATGTTCACAAAATTGGTCGCGCACGTTAGTTTGCTCTTTAACGTGTGCAGGAATTAATGTGATTAAGAAGTAGTGTTCTTTATGCGTTGCATTCATGAACTGATTAAATATATTTGTTTAAACCGCAAGGTCACATGTTCACAACCAGCAATAGTCTAGGCACAAAATCCAATACGCCTGTGCCACAGATGTTGTGTCGTATCCATGCATGTTGCACGACATGTTCGACCTATGACTACGGAGAAATACACTTTAAACCATATGAGTCCATCCCTGCCAGGTTAGAAATGCGAATCGTTTGGATAGTTTAGGGTTTAGGGTCTAGGGTTTAGGGTTTAGGGTTTAGGGCTCAAGTTACTTGGAGGTCAACTTGAGCCCTAAACCCTAAACCCTAAACCCTAAACCCTAAACCCTAAACCCTAAACCCTAAACCCTAAGCACTAAACCCTAAACCCTAAACCCTAAACCCTAAACCCTAAACCCTCAACCCTAAATCCTAAACCCTAAACCCTAAACCCCCTAAGTTAAGCCCCCAAAGCCCTCTGCCGAAGGAGGCGCCTTCCCCAGAGAAGCCGAAGGAGACGCCTTCCAACCACGGAGCGCCCCGGCTTCGGGTGAGGTTTAGGGTTTAGGGTTTAGGGTTTAGGGTTTAGGGTTTAGGGTTTAGGGTTTAGGGTTTAGGGTTTAGGGTTTAGGGTTTAGGGTTTAGGGTTTAGGGTTTAGAGCTCAAGCATTCGCTAGTTAAGCTCGAGACTTCGGTTTGACTATCTACCCACCTACCCTTTGGGATCCCATGACATTAGGAAAATAGAAGGTTCGCTCAATTCTTAAGCCTCAGGCTCCATACCTTAGGGTTCTAGCCCTTAAGCCTTAAAGCGTCACCCTTTCACCATCACCCCCACCCCATCCTGGGGGGCTTGTGCCTTGCCTTGTGCCTTGGCCTTGTGCAGGGGTCTTCGGTTCTCCCGGGGCCTTTCGAACAAATGTCCCGGCAGATCCCGGGGGTGCCTTGCTGACGAAGCAGCTGGTGGCGGGGCCTGTTGAAGGCTGTGGAGCCAACACTTTAGAACCTGCAAATGCTGAACCCTAATGCCCTAAACCCGAAACCTTAAAATTTAGACCCTAAGCCCTAAACCCGAAATTTAAATCCTAAACCCTAAACCCTACACCCTAAACCCTAAACCCTAAACCCTAAACTCTAAACCCTAAACCCTAAACCCTAAACCCCCAAGGTCAAGAGCCTCTCCCAAGCAGTGGCTGCAGCGGTGCGCAGCGGCGACCGCAGCCGCGCAGAGCGACTCCTGGGCGACATCATCCGGACCACGGGGGGGTTTAGGGTTTAGGGTTTAGGGTTTAGGGTTAGGGTTTGGGGTTTGGGGTTGAGGCTTTTCTGGAGTTTCGGGCTTTTGGTGCGTTTTGGGAGTTTTGAGGGCTTAGGTTTGAGGGTTCTCGGGTTGAGGGCTTTGGGTTTTTGGGCGGTGTTTGATGAAGCGTCCCTTCCGATCTCCCTTGGGAGTTTGGGGGTCTGCAGGTCAAGGTTCTTCATTTGCTGGCAAGTGTGGGGTGGGGAGGGGGAGGGGGCGTCACAGCCGCTTAAAACTTGTAGGATCCCTTAGCTTCAGAGTTGGGGTTCAGGGTTTAGGGTTTAGGGTTTGGGGATTAGGGTTTAGGGTTTAGGGCTACCAACGCCCAAGCGCGCAACAGGACACGTACGCCAGTGGACACCATGCCCTTCAACTCAGCCGCTCGGACCCTAAAGACAGCCGCCCCGAACCCCAAACCCTACAAGATCCTAAAGGCCCCTAAACCCCTAGAACCTCAAGACTCTTTGGGCTATAACTACAGCTATAACGGTGTTGTAGAATTAGAAGTACCCACGACTCTCGAAATGAGGAATCTGCCTTACCTTACAATGGGGATCTGAATATGACGTAAGGGATGCTCTTTATAACGGGGCGGGGGGGCGCAAGGCGTTCTCTGGAAGTCCCCTGTCTGAGTCCCTGCTCTAGTAACAGCCATAATAACCCCCCAAAACCCTATTCCAATTATTCAGGCCCTTACGTTAGGTCCCCTGTTCGAATCCCTGCTCTTAGGTAATCCACGCCTGTGCGAAGACTGGTGACATGGCGGGTGCACGGAGGTGGCTGCATGAGATGCGCCACTTGGCTGGTTGTCAGAGCCGTCCGTGCCTGAAAGTCCCAAAAGCTCAACCCGAAACCCTAAACCCTAAACCCTAAGCCCTAAACCCTGTACCCGAACTCCCGAACTCCGGAATGTGGTCCGGTCGGGAGAAGGGCTTCTGGTGCCTTGACTGCGCTACCCAATGATGGTGGAGTTCCGAGCAGACATTCTGCATGAGCCTGCAAGTGCAACTGCATTCGTTTTGGAGTTCAAACCTCGGGGCAAACATATTCTACGCACGCCTATAAAAGGTCACTACTCAACCCTATGCCCTAAGCCCTAAGCCCCCTCCCCTCCACATCCCCCTTCAAAGCAGATGCGGAAAAGCCCTAAACCTTAAACCCTAAGCCCTAAACCCTAAACCCTAAACCCTAAACCTAAACCCTAAACCCTAAACCCTAAACCCTAAACCCTAAACCCTAAACCCTAAACCCTAAACCCTAAGCCTCAAAGCCTGTGGCCACGGAGACCTCAAAGAGGCGCTGCTGGCGTGGAACCCAACACCATCAGCTACAACATCCTCATGGATGCACCTCGGCTCGAAGGGGTTTAGGGTTTAGGGTTTAGGGTTTAGGGTTTAGGGTTTAAGGAAAGTCCCTGATGGGGAGGGTGCTGGGAGAGGCGTTCGCTATGGATCTAGGCTTTGGGCATGAGCCCTCAGGCCTAAACCCTAAACCCTGAAGGTTTCTGGGATGGACTTTTTTCAGGTGGCTCGCAGAGCGAAATGCGGCGCCAGAGCACAGCAGCATCTTTCCCTCAAGCCGCGAACTCCGCAACCCACCTCACACCCGAAGCCCAACTCCCGGATTTCTCCGACATCGCCATGTAGAGCCTTCAAAGTGAGGCCTCCGCCAAGGCGGACGACGCCGAGGACTGGGGTCTGTAGGGTTCGGGGTTAGAGGGTTCAGGCAGGGTTCAGGCTTTGGGGGGGGTTCAGGGTCTCAGCTGCAGCTTGTAGCTGCTATCTCTGGCATGTGCGGCCGAGGGCTCCGGCGGCTTGGCAGAGCCTTTGTTTGAGTGGCTGGCTTGGGGTGTGGCCGGTTCTCTTTATCATTGGGGGGTGCGCCAGACCTCTCAGCTTTTTCTTGTGCACCTGCAAGCCTTCGGAAGCCCCAAGCTCTAAAAGCCCCAAGCTAGCCCTAACAGCCCGAACCCTCAATGCCCTGGACCTCACCCAAGAGGACGCGGAACACTGGCTTTCCGAGATGCTGAAAGATGGAGTACAGGCGAATGAGGCCACGAGCTACAAAGAGGGGCTTGCGGTACACAGGGACCCCCTAAGAGAGTCCCTTCAACCCTTATAGTAAGGACCCCGATAAGGTACGCCTAATTTCGGAAACCCCTAAGAGCGTAGTGCCCTCCGATGCCCAAAGCCCTCCATCATCACACCTTAAAGAAGGCTTAAAAAGCTGTCCACGGGCTTAAGGGGGCTTAAGGGGCTTATTCAAGGGTCGGTAGGGTTTTTAAAGTTTCGTTTGGGGCTTTTAGGCCTCGTGAGGATTTTGTTTAGGGCCTTCATAGACAAGGCTCTGAAACCTTGAAACCTTACCCTTCGAAACGCCATCCCCTGCTATCAAAGCTCTAAAAGAATCCATTGCTTTCTGCAACTTTTGCCGAGAAGGCCCCTATTCCTTCCTTTCTTGCCTCTCTCTCTCTCTCTCTTGCTCTCTCGCTGTCTGTGCATGGGTGGCTAATTAGTCAAAAGCCTGGAATGCCTAAACCCTAGAAACCCTAGTTGGGTGTGTGGAACATTCCCTACTTCTGGGATGCCGGGCTCCCTGACCGCCCCCACGCCTGAGCACAGAAGTTGTTCAGGCTCAGGGTTTGAGGGTTTCACGGTTTCAGGATGTTCGGGTTTAGCATATTAGGATTTAGTGTCTAGGGCTTACGAAACAAATCAAAGCATCTGTTTCCAACAACCCCACGGGTCCCAGAAACAAGGATGTTTTGGAAGAGGGTTCCATCGGGGTTTCGTGACCCCTAAACCCTAAACCCTACACCCTAAACCCTAAACCCTAAACCCTAAACCCTAAACCCTAAACCCTAAACCCTAAACCCTAAGCCCGAGAGCCTGCTTCCCCTATCCGTAGGTCAGCTACGCCACCGTCATCCACGCGCGCGCGAAGCGCGGTGTGGCTGGGCAGAGCTTGGATGAAGTTGTCCCAAACGGGTTTAGGGTTTAGGGTTTAGGGTTTAGGGTTTAGGGTTTAGGGTCTAGGACCCAGTGTGACGCCCTTATTCCCTTTTTTAGGCTTTGGGTTCTCTCCAATAACCCCCTTTAAACCAAAAAGGGCACTCTGTTTATTCCTAGGTTACTTATGCCCTAGATGCTACCCTAACTCCTAGACCGATAAGCCCAAACCTCAACGCCTATGCAAACCCGAAGTCCCTTTTCTCGGAGAGGATCTGGCAGGCAGGCCTATCTGAGTCTTCTGCCAAAGAGGCCCTGAGATGAGAGGTACCTTATCGTTATCATTTTGGCAAGTGCCCTTACAACGTAGAACTCTCGTCGTTGCCCTTACAACTCAACTTGAGGCTCTGCTTCTGACTCTGCTTGTAGCCAGGCTTGAGGAACCCCGGCCCGAAGCCCTAAACCCGAAACCCCGAGTCCGAAACACTCCGAGCCCTGAGCCCTAAGGAAACGGAGTTGGCCGAGCACTGGCTCTCAAAGATGCTCAACTGCAACCTTTAGGACTGGCTCTACTGGGGCTTAGGGCTTCGGGGCTTTCAGGGTTTTTCGAGCTTCCGCAAGCCTCAACTCCGAGCGTTACACCCGAGTCTTCCTTGAACCCTGGACCCTCAGCACCGCGCTCCAACGTTGAAGATCCTCACAGCCAATCCTGGGATGGTGGTGGTGGTGGACCCCCCCAAACTCCAACCCCCAACCCCAACCCCCAAACCCCAAACCCCAAAGCCCAAAGCCCAAAGCCCAAACCCCAAACCCCAAACCCCTAAACCCCAAACCCTAGACCCCAAACCCTAAACTTTAAAACCCAAAACCTACTCTTTAAACCCCAAACCCTAAACTTTAAAACCCGCACCCATCAAAAACCACAGCTGGAGAAGCTGATGGGATGGAGCTGCAGTTCCAGCCAGATCCAAGGATGCTCGCCGCTGGCGTCGAGCCCAACATCGCACCCCGGCTAGGGTTTAGGGTTTAGGGTTTAGGGTTCAGGGTTCAGGGTTTAGGGTTTAGGGTTCAGGCTTTAGGGTTTAGGGTTTAGGGTTTAGGGCTTGTGGCTCAAGCTCCAGGTCAGCTACAACTCGCTCATCTACGCCTGTGGGCGCAAAGGTGACCTGGCACAGGTTTCGGGTTTGAGGCTTCAGGGTTTGGGTATAGGGTTCAGGGCTCTCAGGGTTCAGGTTTAGAGTTTAGGGATTGAAGCCCTGAACCCTAAGCCCTCAATCCTAAGCCCTAAACCCAACTCACAGAGCACTCGCAGCACCCAAAGCCCTACAAGCCAAAACAGGAGAGAAGCCCCAAAGAACCCAAAAGAAGTGCACGCAAGCCCTCCAAGAAAGCTCCCAGGACACCCTCCACCTCCTAAACCCCAAACACCCAGTCTAGGACCATAGGCTTTTTTTTTTAGGGTTTAGGTTCTCTTCTCAGCCCCTTTGGACCCAAAAGGGCACCACCCTGTTTTTTTTTTTTTTTTTCCTAGGTTACTCTGGTCCAAGAAGTAGGATCAACCCTGGCACCCGAACACCCTCTACCTGCCGCCTGGCTTCGGTCAACCCTAAACCCGAAACCCTAAACCCTAAACCCTAAACCCTAAACCCTAAACCCGAAACCCGAAACCCGAAATCCGAAACCCGAAGCCCGAAGCCCGAAACCCTAAACCCTAAACCCACATAAAGAAGTTCTCAGGCAAGGATGAGTGATCAACCCTCCTTCAGCCCCAAGTTCTGGACCCGAACCCTGCTCCCCTCTCCGACCCCCCTCCCCCAAGCCGCACACCCTCAGCCTTGAGGGTTTTTAGGGGTTAGGGTTTAGGGCCTAAACCCTAAACAAGAGAGTCTTAACAATGAAGGGGACGCCGCCAGCGCCGAGCGATGGCTGCGCGAGGCCGAGCGGAGGGGCTTGGCCCCCCGAGTGTCCCGGGCAGAAGCTGGTTTCAGGGCTTTAGGGTTTTAGGGTTTAGGGTTTAGAGTGTTGGGGGTTTCAGGGCTTGACGTTTAGGGGGTTTTGGGGTCTGGGGCTTCATGGCCGAGGGATTTTAGGGTGTAGGGGCTTTGGGTGCAGATGTTGGGCTGGAAGATGGGCCCAGGGCTTAGATTCTTGTTCCCGGGAGAGGGAGAAAAGCTCGGGGTGGATGGTGGAAGATTGGCTGAGGGATTCTAAAGTTACAGGGGGCTTCAGGGTTACGGGTCTCAGCCCTGAACTCCCTAAACTTTGGGATGTTCGGGTTCAGGACTTCGGGGATGTTTTGTTTGTTTTTTTTTTCGGGCTTTAGGGCCCTCAGGGTTTTGGGGCTTCGGGCGGGGGCTCAACAGTTGCGAAGGTTCGCAAGGCTTGCCTAAACGCCCAAGTTCCTCTCCCCCACAAATGACTAAAAACTTCTGAGTTGGGCTGAGGGGTCTTCAGGGTTGGTTGAGGGTTTTGGGGGTTTAGGGTTTTAGGCTTTGTAGGGTTTCAGGGTTTTAGGGTTTAGGGTTGAGGGTTTAGGGTTTAGGGTTTAGGGTTTAGGGTGAGCCCCCAAGGTGACCACCTACACGGCAGTGGTTGACGCCTGCGCCTGGGCCTCAGCGCTCATCCTGAACCGGGGCGGGGGGAAGCGGTGTCAAACCTTCGGTCCCCTAAACCTTATTACCGTTAAACCCTAAACCCCTAAACCCTAAACACCCCTAGACCCTAGACCCTAAGCCCTAAACCCTAAACCCTAGACCCAAAACCCTAAACCCTAACCCCTAAACCCTAAACCCCTAGACCCTAAAACCCCTCGAACCCCCCCACGACCTGCGCGTGGCGCAGGCCAAGAGTGGCGACGTGGAGCGCGCTGAGAAGTGGATGGAGAAGATGAAGGCGTCACACATGGGCGTTCTCGGGTTTGGGGTTTAGGGTTTAGGGTTTGGGGTTCAGGGTTTAGGGTATAGGGCTTAGGGTTTAGGGTATAGGGTATAGGGCCTTGGGGTTTGGAGGGTGTAGGTTGGGATGTTCACCCTTCTGCTACCAGTCCTTCATAGGCCCCTATTATGATCCGTATTAAGGGCTGTTAGTATAAGGGGGAACATCCCAAGGTGTAGGCCTTCGGGTTTAGGGTTTAGGTTTTTGGGCTTTGGGTTTTGGGTTGGGAGAGTCATGTGGGGGTTGTTCCAAATGCACGGATACCGGTAGATATAATGATCATGCTTGGCTGAGTCATGTGGGGGTTGTTCCAAATGCACGCCTGAACCCTAGACCATAAACCCTACTGTAAACGTTTTAAAAAGGGTTTCTGGCGAAGGCACTTTGGAGCACCGTCCCTTGGCAAGCTCCATGTGCTACCACTGGAGGCTGGCAAACTGGTACCTGGATCGCTTGCGCCAAAGCGATGTGGAAGATGGCGTCAGACGCATTGTGCTAGAGGAGCAGAGCCACAACGTGCTGCATGTGCGGTATCCCTTCGTCGAAAGCCCCTTCAAGGTCGAAGTCGGCCAGAGTTCGACGGCGCGTGGTGCACAACTGTCACTTGTCTGACGCAGGGCACCTGGATGGAGGCGTACATCGTCTGGGTATACGAGGGTGCGCCGAGGCACCACTCGCTCTACTTGGGCAAACACTGCGCCTAAGGCCGAAAACCCTTCCCCTAAACCCAAATAAACCCTTAGCCTTTATGGGCTCTTCTTTATGGTTTAGGGTGCGGATTTGGTTTTGTGACCCTCAATGTAAACCCTAAGCCCCGCACCCCAAACTCCAACTCTCAAACCAGCTCTCAAGCACTTCACCCCAAAACGGCCCTGCCCGTCATGCGCGTGGTCAGCTTAAGCTTAGGGGGTCAACCCCTGAACTCCTAAACCCGAACCAGGCCTGAGGGGATCTTGGGTTGTTGGGGAATGGGCCCTTAAGCCCCAAACTCCGTGAAGGGTTTAGGGTTTCAGGTTAAGGGTGCTGTGTGCCCCAGGATGCAAAAGTGGAGCCGAACGTTGTCAGCTACTCTGCCATGATCGACGCCTGTGCCAAGGCTACTCGGCTTGACAGCAACCGAAGCAGCAGAAACAAACGAACACAACAACCAGGATCTTAGTCTATTTGAACTCTAAGCCCCAAATCTTAAATCGTAAATCCTAAGCCCTAAGCCCTCGACCCAATGGGTTTTCAACTTTGACCCCTAAGCCCTACCACCACAGGCCCATCAGAATCGCGCGTCCCTGGAAGGTTGGCGATGCCGTGCGAGCCCAACGATGGCACCAACGAATGCAGAATGTTGCGCGGCAGAGACAGAGAGAGGGAGAGAGAGCAGAGGAAGAAGAATAAGAAGGAACAAAAAGAAGAAGGAGAGGAAGAAGAAGAAGAAGATGGAGGAGAGAGAGAGAGAGAGGGTGAGAGAGTGAGAGAGACCGACAGAGAGAGACAGAAAGAGACAGAGAGAGAGGGAGAGAGACAGAAATGCACGGAAAGAGACACGAGAGAGAGGGAGAGAGAGGGAGAGAGAGAGAGAGGGAGAGAGAGAGAGGGAGAGAGACAGAGAAAGAGAGAGAGAGAGAGCGAGAGAGAGAGAGAGAGAGAGAGAAAGAAAGAAAGAAAGAATGAGCGAGCAGCGAGAGCGAGAACGAGAGCGAGAGTGATAGCGAGAGCGAGAGCGAGGGATAGAGCCAGGGAGAGAGAGAGAGAGACCTAAACCCTAAACCCGGTAACCCTAAACCCTCAACTCTAAGTATCTCTTGGGCTTTTGATACCTGAGACTTGAAAACCCTGAAGCCCAAAATCAGCCGCCATGTTTCCAAGGTATGAGCCGTTTGCGGTTCGGGCGGAATATACTGGGGGATGTGTACTTATATATGAAAAAAATATATATAGATATATGCGCAGATAGATCGTCTTGTATGGTGAATAGAATACTGCAGTTGCATAAGGGCCCCGCATCATGGGCCCATGCTTTGAACGAGTGTCCCAAGCCCACCAGCTCCAGGCTGGCGTCCAGCCCAACGCACACAGCTTCAGCGCAGTGATCAATGCCCGGTCCTCGATGTTGGGCGCTTTCGTACCGCTGCTGGGGGTGCCAGCGTGCGTAAGAAGGAACCCCTAAACCCTAAACTTGCCGCCCTAAACCTCAAACCCCTCAGCCTAAACCCCCCTAAACCTAAACACCGAAGCCCGAACCCCAAAACCCTAAACCCCAACACCGAAACCCCTAAGCCTAAACCGTGTCCCTTAACTGTTGTGCCAGACCTTGACAGTTCCTAGAAGAGGCATGGGCGGCAGAGTGCGATTTGCAAGCAGCGGCAAGCAGCTCTGGTATGTTTTCTTTTCGCCGAAATCAAAACCGGGCCATACAAATTTGATTTCCACACAGCCGGACCCTACAAATCTAACTTCCCCAATAGCTACCGGCCCAACCTTTAAAATAAGCTCTTTGGCCCAGCCTTTTCGTACAAAACATCTCCACCGTGTTTAGGTTCGGGCTCAAAGGTGTTGCTCGTCAAACCCTAAAGCCTAACCCCCAAGTCTTTTGAGCCCTAACCCCCGTCACCCTAAACCTTTATTGCGAAGCCCCGTTTCAGGGCCGTATGACAGTCCCTAAACCCTAAACCCTAAACCCTAAACCCTAAACCCTAAACCCTAAACCCTAAACCCTAAACCCTAAACCCTAAACCCTAAACCCTAAACCCTAAACCCTAAACCCTAAACCCTAAACCCTCAAAGTTTTAACATCCCTATGGCCCCGAATCCCTGAGCCCAGCGCCCCCCACAAATTTGGAAGACGTGTCTCCAAGGCCTGTGCCAAGAGCGGCAAGGCGGGCCTGGATCGCGGTTCAGGGGTTTGGGGTTTGGGGTTTAGGGTTTAGGGTTTAGGCTTCATGGTTTGCGGTTTAGCATTTAGCGTAACCCTAAATCCTAAACCCCGATCCTCCGAACCCTGAAGCCCTAAGCCCTTAAACCCTAAACCCTAAATCCCCGGACCCGAAGCCCTTAACCTCAAACGTTGAGGTGGCCGCCGCCTGTGAAGAGTTCGACCGCATGGAGAAAGCTGGGGTGGCGGCCGACGTCGTTGTGGCTGGGCCCAGCACGGCGGTTTAGGGTTTTAGGGTTTAGGGTTTTAGGGTTTAGGGTTTAGGGTTTAGGTTTTTAGGGTTTTAGGGTTTTAGGGTGTGAGGGTTTGAGGGTTTTAGGGTTTTAGGGTTTAGGGTCAGCCCTAAACCCTAAAGCGCCAAGCCCGTAGATGCCTGAAACCTTAGACCCCTCAGCCCTCCAGGCCCCTACGCCCTTCGAGCCTTCGCCCGGAAGCCCCTAAAGAGGCCCTTAAACCCTCAAACCCTAAACCGTCAAACCCTAAACCCTAAACCCTAAACCCTAAACCCTAAGCCCTAAGCCCTAAGCCCTAAGCCCTAAACCCTAAACCCTCAAAGCTCTCAAAGCGCTCAGGTGTACAGCGGCCTCTTGGACGCCTGTGCCAAGGCTGGCGACCTGGAGCGCTCGAAGGAGGTCTTCGCCAGGCGGCCGTGCTTCGGGTTTGGGGTTTAGGGTTCAGGGTTCAGGGTTCAGGCTTGAAGGTTTAGGGTTTAGGGGTTAGGGGTTAGGGTTTTGAAGGTTTGAAGGTTTGAAGGTTTGAAGGTTTGAAGGTTTGAAGGTTTGAAGGTTTGAAGGTTTGAAGGTTTGAAGGTTTGAAGGTTTGAAGGTTTGAAGGTTTGAAGGTTTGAAGGTTTGAAGGTTTGAAGGTTTGAAGTTAGAAGGTTGGAAGCTTAGAAGGGTTGAAGCCCTTAAGATGTAGAGGGTTTAGCAGGGTTCTGGGGTGCAGGGTTTTGGGGTTTGCAGGGTTTACTTGGGCTTCGGGTTGAGGGTTCAGGGCTTGAGAGAGGCCCGAAGCCCTAAACCCTAAACCCTAAACCCTAAACCCTAAACCCTAAACCCTAAACCCTAAACCCTAAGCCCTAAACCCTGAACCCTAAACCCTAAACCCTAAACCCTAAACCCTAAACCCTAAGCCCTAAACCCCAAACCCCAAACCCTAAACCCTAAGCCCTAAACCCTAAAAGCCCAAATCCTAAACACACACAGGGTTGTAGGGTTAAGCTCCCCAAGGATGAAGGCCGCCGGAGTGCGCCCCAACGTCGTCGCTTACGCCTCGCTGGCCCGGCCCTTCGCGCACCGCGGGGAGTGGCAGGAGGCCTGCAAGGGGCCTTGGGAACCCTGGCTTAGGGTTTAGGGCTTAGGGTTTAGGGTTTGACGGTTTAGGGTTTAGGGTTTGACGGTTTAGGGTTTGGGGTTTAGGGTTTAGGGTGTAGGGTTTAGGGTTTAGTATAGATCCCTGAGGGCTCATGCACGTTTGCCTTCTTGCTTCCGGCGGGCGGGTACAGAGACATGGTGGTATGTCTAAACGCCCTACAACCTAAACCCTGGATAGAAGCAAGGTCGATTTTCGGGAGCGAGAGCTTCGGAGGAGAGAGCTGCAGAGCTTCCAGTGTAGTGTTTAGGGTTTAGGGTTTAGGGTTTAGGGTTTAGGTTTAGGGTTTAGGGTTTAGGGTTTAGGGTTTAGGGTTTGGGGTTTAGGGTTTAGAGTTTAGGATTTAGGGTTTAGGGTTTAGGGTTTAGGGGGGGGGGGGGGGGGGGGGGGGGCACCTTGCAGGTGGAGAGTTTCGCACAGGACATGCAGCAAGCAGGCCTGGAGATGCTCCTCGGCTTTCTGCGAAGGTTGGTGCGTTGCAATCCGTCGGATTTCTGGCAAACCTCAACCTTCCAGAAACCTGCTGTTTCGTAGGGCGTTAAAACCAACTAATCTGGGAAGTCCTCACTCCTCACGCAATGATGATCCCTTTTACTTCACAACCCGGAGGCCCTGGTATTCAAGGGACCCCCTCTAAACCCGAAACCCTAAACCCTAAACCCTACCCCCCCCAAAACAAACACAAACAAAAGCAAAAACAAAAAGAAAACGAGAAAAAGGCCCCCATGGAGTCGTCCTCCCAAAATACCTAATTCCCTGAACACGAGGGTTTAGGATTTAGGGTTTGGGGTCTAGGGTTTGGGGTTTAAGGTTTGGGGTTTAGGGCTTAGGCCTTAACCCTCAAAAACTCGCAAGCCGTGCTAAGCCCTGTATGGCCGAGGAACGAATACTTCCTCTATGCCCTGCTCCTGGCTTATGCCGGAGCCAAGCCACGCCAGAGCGACCGCGCCGAGGCACTCTGCCTGGGAGGTTTGAGGGTTTAGGGCCTACAAAACCCCCGAAGCCCCTGAACACCAAATCCTACAACCCCGGTAAAGTTATAGAAGCCATTCTACCCAGATGTGCTTCTAGATTCTAGAACCCTACACCCTACCCCCTAAACGCTAGACCCGTAAACTGAACCCTAAAGCCTAAAGCCTAAAGCCTAAAGCCCAAAGCCTAAAGCCTACAGCCTAAAGCCTAAAGCCTAAAGCCTAAAGCCTAAAGCCTAAAGCCTAAAGCCTAAAGCCTAAAGCCCCAAAGCCCCAAAGCCCCAAAGCCCCAAAGCCCCAAGGCCCCAAGGCCCCAAGGCCCCAAGGCCCCAAAGCCCAAAGCCTAAAGCCTAAAGCCTAAACCCTAAATAACCCTACCAAGGGCCCCTCCTTTGGTTACCACAACTCCCCAGGCTGCCTTCCGCCGGGCCCATGCGCGGGGCTTGGAGGCCAACAAGCACGCCCCTTCGGCCAGGTAAGGGTTTAGGGTTTAGGGTTTAGGGTTTAGGGTTTAGGGTTTAGGGTTTAGGGTTTAGGGTTTAGGGTTCAGGGTTCAGGGTTCAGGGTTCAGGGTTCAGGGTCCAGGGTTCAGGGTTCAGGGTTCAGGGTTCAGGGTTCAGGTTTAGGGTTTAAAGCTTAGGGATTGGGCTTTAGGGTCTAGGGCTTACAGTAGGATTTCGGCTTTAGGGTTTAGGGTTAGGTGAGTTGTAGGCTTTTGATTCTCTGGGGTGTGGGGGTTTCGGCGTCTAGGATTGGTAGTAGGATCGACTCCTTCGAGGTCCAAGGGGCTTTTGTGTCATCCAGCTGCAGTGGCTTTTATAGGATTGCCATTGTCCCACAAACGAAGGACCCCCCCTCAAGAACTAATAAGCCCTAGTGCAAACCCTTAACCATTAATCAACCTTCACCCGGAACACCTTCCGCCCAGAACCCTTAAAGACCCTTCAGTATCCTAATCCCGAAGCATGAAACCCTGAACCCCAAACGCAAAAACCCCTCAGCCCTGAGCCCCTTGAACCCTAGAGGGTTTTGAAGCCTTTCAGCTTCCAGCCTTAAACACTAAACCCGGAACCCCTAAACCTGAAGCCCTGAACCCGAAAACATTCCGTACTCCCCAAAACCTAAACCCTAAACCCTAAACCCTAAACCCTAAACCCTAAACCCTAAACCCTAAACCCTAAACCCTAAACCCTAAACCCTAAAACCCTAAACCCTAAACCATCCCCAGGTGCTCACGGCCCTGGGCCGCGCCGTGGGCCGCGGGCGGGCCGCCCAAATCGCGCCCCGGCGGCCCAAAAGTTGTACCCTCAGCCTGAGGCCCAAAGCCCTCTACCCTGCACCGGGTTTAGGGTTTAGGGTTTAGGGTTTAGGGTTTAGGGTTTAGGGTTTCGGGCTAAGGGTTCAGGGTTTAGGGTTTAGGGTTTATCTTTTAGGGAGCTTTAAGGCCTAAACCCCCACACCCGGAAGGCCCCAGGCCCCTCAAACCTACTCAAGCTTTCACTTTCACCGATGTGCACGCTTGAGATTGGAGCATATCGATCCTGTGGATCCTGTGGTTTCGCCTTTGTTTTGCCTCGGGGCGCGTAGAAAATCCAGAGCACGGCGCAGTTCTCATCAGGGTTTTAGGGTTTAAGCGGTTCAGGGTTTAGGGTTTGCAGGGCTTCAGGGTGTCGGATTTTGAAAACCTAGGGTTTATATATTTTAAGAGCCTTCCATCCTAAGGTTAAGGTGATTTAGGGTTAGGGAGTTATGAAATTTAGGACGTCACTTCAGGGTTTTAGGGTCCTGGGGAGGCTCTGAACCCCAGATTCAGGTGCCTGAACCCTAAACCCTAAACCCTAAACCCTAAACCCTAAACCCTAAACCCTAAACCCTAAACCCTAAACCCTAGACCCTAAACCCTAAACCCTAAGCCCTAAACCCCAAACCCCATAGCCCTAAACCCTAAACCCAGGTGCGGGAGCTCGGCCTCAGCGAGTTCCCCGAGGAGCGCCGCCGCCCCTTCAAGTGAGCCGAGGCGCAGGGGCTCCCTGGCTTTTGCTTCCTTTTTCAGTTTTGTTAAAGGTTTTTCAGTTTTGTTTAAGTTTTTCAGTTTTGTTAAAGGTTTTTCAGGTTTGTTTAGGGCTTTTAGGGTTTTGGGGATGTTAACTTGTTCGCGGTTTTTTGGTTTTCTTGGGATTTGTTGTAGACCAGTCTTGTTTCTGGTTGGGCCCTCCACTTGAGCTTGTGTTGTTCCGAACGCCTTTGGGATGGCGCGGCCGCCAATTGCCAGACCTCAGACTTGGCTTCGCGACTTCAGAAGGCCAAGTCAAAGCCAAGCTCTATGTAACAGGTTGAACATGCCGAGCACATCACGAAGAGGCACCTGTGTCTCACTTCACAAGCACGCTTTTTGATTGCAAGAAAACACAGGCTTGTACTGACACCGTTGCGCATGCTGGGCGGGGGCGGTGCTTATACCAAAGCCAAAGCCATATTTGTCAGGCCCAGCACGTTTGCAGCATCCCAGCGAAAGGCAATAATCAGGACAGAGCCAAGGCTCAAGAGCCCTTCTGCCCTTGCAGGCTTCAGTCCGTTGCTCGCGCCGACGTCTGAGCGGAAGCAACGAGAGCTAGGTTGCTGTTGCCACACTAGGGTTGAGGGTTCAGGGTTTAGGGTTTAGGCTTAGCGGCTTTAGGGTATGTACTACAAAGGCGACTATGGGAACCCTAAGCCCGAAGCCCCTGCTTCTGGTCCCCTACTGGTCCCCTACGCCATAGCGCCAAACCCTGCATTCAGGTTCCCTAAGCCCTGAGCCCTTAATTTGAGCTCCTTAACCCCAACCAACCTAAACCCTAAGCCCAAACCCTAGCCCCTAGGCCTTACTTTAATCCCTTCAGCCCTAAGGCCTCAATCTAAGTACTTTACTCTCTTAAGCCCTAAGACCTCAATCTAAGTTCCTGAGCAGCAACGCGGAGAAAGTTTTCAGCGCCCGCCGCTGTCCACGGGGGAAGGCGGCGACTCCCTCAGGTCACCAAGCCCCACTATGCTTTCTTAAGCCCAAAGAAGTCCCGAACAACTGAAAATCTCTAATCTCGGGCTGAGAGAGCCATAAGCCCTAAGCCCTAAGCTCTGAACCCTTGAAACCCTAAACCCTAAACCCTGAACCCTAAACCCTAAACCCTAAACCCTAAACCCTAAGCCCTCTCTGGATCCGACAGTCGGAAAGTTTCAGTCGTGGTCTTTGGGCCTCGGGGCACGAGCACTACTCTTGGAAGCCCCCCAACTGGGGATGCTCCCCCTTGTGCTAGCAGTCCTGAGTAGGGATTCTATCCCCCTATCATATTCTACACAGTCCTGAGTAGGGATTATAGTACCCCCCCTATTATACTACCTATTAAGGACTGTTTGTATAAGGGGGAACATCTGAACCCCCAACCCGAAGTCCCCCGAAACCCGAAGCTCCCCACAATCCGAGGCCCAGCAGCCACTGCCTCTCCCAGCCTTGACCTTAAGATTTGAGCCCTAAAACCCTGGAACCCAAGAACCCTAAAACCCTAAAACCCTAAGACCCTAACACCCCAAAACCTTGACAAAACCCTCAAACCCTAAAACCCTAAACAACCCTAAGCCCTAAAACGCCCAAGCCCTGAGAACGAGGAGGAGCTCGCCTGACCCCGGAACCTTCCATGCTAACTTCCATGCCCCCGCGGAGTGAGATCTCCGTTTCATATGCCGTAGACGACAGAAGCGCTGCAAGCCAAAAAGCCGTTGGCCGCGGGGCGTGGCGGCTGAGAGCCCGCTGCGGATGCTCGACAGTACGAAGAACTTTGAGGTTTAGGGACGCTGGGTCTAGAGTCTTCAGGGTTTCAGGGCGGAGGGCCGGAGAAGGGAGCGAAGATGAATCCGAGCAGTCGCTGCCGGGGCGGCCTATGAAACGCTACCCTAACCCTAAACCCTAAAACCGAGAATCCCTGAACCAACATCACACAAAAACAGCTCCCAGAACCTTTGACTAGGGTGTAGGGTGCAGAGGGTCTGGTGTTTAGGGGGTTTAGGGTTTAGAGGGTTAGGGTTTAGAGCGAGGAGGGTTTAGAGGGTTTAGGGTTTAGAGGGTTTGGGGTTAGGGTTTAGGCCTGTCAACCACCCCTCCCCCCAACCACTCCGAGGCCTGAAACCGCAAGCGTTCAATAGTGGTACGGGGTTTAGGGTTTAGGGTTTAGGTTTAGGGTTCAGGGCAGCTATGCTACCAAGACATGGGTAGATGATACTCCCTAAGCGTTACTAGCTACCCCGAAAAGGGCCCTTAAACCCTGAACCCTAAACCGAAACCCTAAACCCTAAACCCTAAACCCTACACCCTAAACCCTAAACCTTACACCCTACACCTTAAACCCTACACCCTGAACCCTACACCCTACACCCTAAACCCCGACCCTAAATCCCATCAGCAGCAACGCGACAGGGGCCGGAGGAGGCGCCAGAGTTTGGGGAGACCTCCCAGTCAGGGGCTCGGTGTGGAGGCCCCCCATAGAGGCCCCACGAACCTGTAGGGTTTAGGGTTTAGGGTTTAGGGTTTAGGGTTTAGGGTTTAGGGTTTAGGGTTTAGGGTTTAGGGTTTAGGGTTTAGGGTTTAGGGGTTAGGGTTTAGTAATAATTTAGGGTTTAGGGTTTAGGGTTTAGGGTAGGGGTTAGGGTTTAGTAATAATTTAGGGTTTAGGGTTTACGGTTTAGGGTTTCGGGTGAAGGCTTTACGCCCAGAGGCCCAAAAGCTAAGCCCCAAAAGCCTTCAAAGCTTCAAGCGCGCTTTCTTTTTTCAGGTTCGTCTCCCCTACACCCCAAACCCGAAGCAACAATCCCCAAACCCCAAACCCCAAACCCCAAACCCCAAACCCCAAACCCCAAACCCCAAACCCCAAACCCCAAACCCCAAACCCCAAACCCCAAACCCTAAACCCTAAACCCTAAACCCCTCTCAGGTTCTTCTTCAACGCCACCACGGGCGAAAGCAGCTGGGCGGATCCGCGGCAGCTGGTGGACTTCGACCTGAGGCTCGCCCTGGCTCGTTTTGGGAGGGGTTTTAGGGGGTTTAGGGTTTCTAGAGGGTTTAGGGTTTAGGGCTAGGGTTTAGGGTTTAGGGTTTAGGGTCTAGGGTGAGAGGGTTAGAGGGTTTGGGGGTTTTGAGGTTTCGGGTTTAGAGGGTTTGGGGTTGTGTAGGGGGTCTAGAGTTGAGAGGGCCCAGGGTTTAGAGGGTTTTGGGTTTGGAGCAGGTTTGGGGTTTGGGGTTGGGTTGTTGTCTAGGCTCTTTTTAAAATCTTTTCGGGCTTCGGAGGCTTTTGGGGTTCTACTGGGCTTCATATGGCTTCAGGAACCCCCTAAACCCCCTAAACCCCCTAAAACTCCCCCTCTAAACCCCCTAAAGACCCCCTGAAAACACCCCAAAACTCCTAAACCCCTCTAAATAACTCCTAATCCCCCTAAACCCTCTAGACCCCCTAAACCCTCCAAACCCCCTAAACCCCCCAAACCTCCTAAAGCCCTCATCGGACCCCAGCCCTAAACCTGAGGTTGCGGCATGGCATCCTCTCCGAGTGCATGGCCGCGTTCCGCGCGTGGCGCCCTCAGGGTGTTGTTTTGGCTTTCGGGTTTCGGGTTTCGGGTTTAGGGTTTAGGGTTTAGGGTGCCTACTTGGAGGTTCCGGGGTACTTATAGCATGACTACATCGCAGCGGCTGGCTAGACTTGAAAGGGTTTGGGTGAGAAGTGCAGTTCATTCCAGTTGGGCTATATAACAACCCTAAACCCTAAACCCTAAACCCTAAACCCTCAACCCTAAACCCGACCAAGATTCGCTGCTGCAGCTGTGACTGCTTGAAGGAACTCGCTGCCAGATGAGTCGTCGGAGGGCGAGCTGAATTTCGGCAGATCTGGTAAGTGGGGGTTCTGCCGGTATGTATGGGATGAAGGCCAGATTTTACATCAGGCTCGGCTCATTGACTGTCGAATGTCACCGAGGTATTATGATTGTTACGTTGTCAGCTTCGCTGGGTTGCAGATTGACCGGTGTGGTTGTCCATCCGGCGCCTGAGGCAGGTTTCCGAAGTTGCGAGGTGCCGGTCTAAGCTCAACCTCAAAGTTCACACGGTCCCATCCCGCCAAGTCCAAGTCCGACAGGGCTTAGGATTTGGGATTTCATGCTTAGGCTTTGGGCAGAAGCTGCCTCGGAAGTTCCTCCGAGCCCCGCTGTTCTCGAGAGCGTTAGGAGGTGCTACCTGGCCTTGGACCCCTGAACAAGCTTAACACCAAACCCTAACAAAACCCTAAACCCTAAACTCTATCCCTAAACCCTGCACCCTGAAGAGTGCTGGAAGCAAAGGAGCAGCCACGCCGACAGAGAAATCTCGGCGCAGGTACCCTCGGGGGGGGGGCGAGGAGCTGGGGTGAGGAATTGGGGAATCAGGATGAGGGTTTCGGGTTTAGGGTTTAGGGTTTGGGTCTAGGGTTTAGGGTTTAGGTTTAGGGTTTCGGGTTTAGGGTTTCGATTTCGGGTTTAGGAACTACAGTCCCGCAAGCGGGTTGCGGGGATATACGAAGGCACCGAAATCCCTAAGTCTTCTGGTAAATGCCGTGGTAAGACAAGCCCGCGAAGCCCTAAACTCTAACCCTAAACCCTAAACCCTACACACTAAACCCTAAACCCTAAACCCCAAACCCTACACCCTAGACTCTACACCCTAAACCCTAAACCCGAAACTCCTGGACCCTAGAAATCCTAAACTCTTTTCAGGCGCTGGACTTCCGGGAGCTCCTCGGCACCCTCAGCCTGCCGCTGCGGCAGCTGGCCCGGGGCCCTGGCAGGGGTTTAGGGTTTAGGGTTTGGGGTTTAGGGTTTGGGGCTTAGGGTTTAGGGTTTAGGGTTTAGGGCTCTGCATCTGCAGTCTCAAAGTGTCGAGTTTTAGGAGTTTTGGGGGTTTGCTAGTTCTAAACCCCAAGCCCTAAGCCCTAAGCCCTAAGCCCTAAACCCTAAACCCTA